TAAACCCTAAACCCTAAACCCTAAACCCTAAACCCTAAACCCTAAACCCTAAACCCTAAACCCTAAACCCTAAACCCTAAAACCCTAAAACCCTAAAACCCTAAAACCCTAAAACCCTAAAACCCTAAAACCCTAAAACCCTAAAACCTTTAAACCCTAAAAAACCCTAAAATCCTAAAAACCTAAAACCCTAAACGTGACGTCATATTCAAAGAAAACCCTATTACCCGAAACTTACAATTTTGGAACTTTTTGCAGATCCTGAAAGCGCATGAAAACTGTGACCCAAATCCATCACGTAAATCGCGGACGCGCGTGCACCGAGGCATGGTTTCAAGACTTCACGAGTGTATGTGGGCATGACCAAAATCACCTCACAGCGTTCCCGATAGCCGCCACTACAAAGACTATCATACGTACCTGGTCGACTAAGTTTTTTTACGGGTTTGGATCCCATGATTTCCCATCCCGGTCCGGCGTCCAAAAAGAGTCGTGAGCCTGTGAACGGACAAACCAGTCGGTGCACCGGCGGCAGTCAGCGTGATGATTGACCACAAATCGGTGCATGCTGTGCGGACTCCGGAGCGCTTGAAAACTTCGAGGGCGCCTCCAAAGATTGCCTGATTCAGTGATTGTGTCCGACAGTGAGCATCCAAATGGAACGCTTGGTCAGCATGGTGCCAAAAGTAGGAGAATGAGCTGCGCATGCTGGTTTAAGTAGGAGTGTAGGACACAAATTGTGACCAGCATTGGGCCATGTGTTGATACTAGTTTCAATTTCTTTAGGTGGATTAGCTGGTAGCTTTGAGTTGCATAGCATTGCCTATCAATGGCGTGCTCTTCTTCAGCTACAGCATTTTGTCAGAGCGTCACCCGAACTCCGTTTGGCTGCAAGGCGACAGAGAATGGATGTTCAAGGAAGGGGCGGAGGGAAGCGGTTTCCAGAATTTGTGAATTGATCCCGCTAATGCATCTCAAATCAATGCAGAGTCAAGGATCCCTGTTCAGAAACAAAGTATTTGCCGCCACTGTGGACTCTGCAAAGGCGCGTAGGAAAGGTTTGGCCAGCATTGTAGCGGAAGCAGGAGAAGAAAGTCAGGTGTCCGTTTCAGACAAGGAGGGACAGATTCGGGAACAGAACAGGCGCCTCTTGGCAATGCAAAAAGAGCTTCTGGCACAGGTAGGGTTCACTTCTGAAGTTGGCATGCTCATAATGCATCGCTGCCTGTCTAACAATGCTACATTGCTAGAGGGTTTGCTGCGCATGCTTCTTTGTGCAACATTCGCCAGGATGCCCTGTTTTTCAATCTGGCGCAGATTGAGGAGCGCAAGAAGTTGCACGCGGCGCTGCTCGAGTCGTTGGAGGACCCCGCCGGCAAGATCAAGGAGTACAATCAAGCGGACAACGGGGTCACTCTCCCGCCGCCGCCGCCCTCCGCTGCCCCTGTCCTGCAATCCCGGCCCCCGCCCCGTGCAGCCCCCGCTCCGGCGCCTGTCCCTAGGAAGCCCGCCCCGCCCCCACGGCGCTCTGCTGTCCCGCCTGTCCGCCTTGCCGCGAGTGCTCCCCCTGCGACCCGCACTCCTGCCACCCCTCCACCACCCCCACCTGTTCAACGCCCGCCCCCGCCACCGCCCCAGGCACGAGAAGAGGCACAGCCTGCCGCCCCGGCGGCCCCGGATCCCCCTCCTCCTCTGGCGGGAGAGAATGTGATGAACGTGGTGGTCGTGGCCGCAGAGTGTGCACCCTGGTCAAAGACGGGTGAGCAGCGGCGGCTGTGGGGAAGAGACCCTCAGATATACCCAGGCTTATCAGGCTGAAGCATGTTGTTGGTTGGTGTTTCTGGTTCAGTCCATCTTTGCAGTGCTTGTCTAGCATGCATGACAAGTGACAAACAACAAAGTTGCAGTTGCGTAAAACTGTCAGCCTGAGGAACATGCTTGCAGCACTCAGGTTGCTCAAAGCTTAGTGTGATCCGCATAGGTGGGTGGCACGGGACTGGCGCCACTGGAGTCCCTTGCAGATGCATGTTCAAGCTTGTTCCTTCACACCGTGATAAAGCTCATCATCGTGTTGTCACTGTGCAGGAGGGCTGGGCGATGTGGTGGGGGCGCTTCCCAAGGCCCTGGCCAAGCGCGGCCACCGTGTCATGGCAAGTCCCGCGCGCCACCCCGCCTCCATGCGTGCTGCCACCACCAGTGATCATGCCGCCTGCTTGCTGCTGCGCATCAGTGCGTCACCTGCCTCCGTCTCACCTTTGGTGTTGTCCGTGCAGGTCGTTGCTCCTCGCTACAGCAATTACGCAGAGGGCTGGGAGACCGGGGTGCGGCGCCACTACATCGTCATGGGCCAGGTCAGTGCGCCTCCCCTCAGCAGGGCCACCACAGGCTGGATTGAGCTGGCCATGGCACACTTGCGTCGTGTCCTGGTTCTCTGATCCTGGTGCTCTGCTGACGCGTTGGCTCGTGCGGCCGGCTGGCGTGCAGGACCAGGAGGTGGGCTACTTCCACGGCTTCATCGACGGCGTGGACTACGTGTTTGTGGACGCGCCCTGCTTCCATGCAGCTGCCGACAACATCTACGGAGGCTCCCGCCAGGTCCGTGCCACCCTGTCCGCCGTACTGCCACTAGCGTGCCCCGATGAGGCGCAAGCCTGGGGCGGGAGCTGCCTGTAGCCTCTGCTGCTGGCTGGCGGGTGGAGCGCAGTGCGGCTCTGCTCAGCGTGGCTGACTGGGGTGCTCCCTTGTGGCTGCAGGACATCATGTACCGCTGCATCACCCTCTGCAAGGCCGCCGTGGAAGTGAGGACCCCCTGCCCCCAGCGGGCCCTCCAGCTGTGCAGTGGTCCTCGCTGCGCCAGCCCGTTGCATTGCACTGGCCAGTAACCTGGTGGTGCTTCTTGCTGGCAGGCCTGGCTCTGATCCGAACAGGGAGCAAGGGTGTTGTCTGTCTGGGCGGTTATCCTCAGCGTTACAGGCTGGCAGGGAGCGGGCACCTGCAAGGGTGCCGGCAAGGCGTTCAGGGCCGGACCCCACCCGTGCCCCGTGCGGCGCCTCCGCTGACGCGCTGCTGTGTGCGCGTGTGGCTGCAGGCGGTGTGGCACGTGCCGTGCGGGGGCATTCCGTACGGCGACAGCAACCTGGTGTTTGTGGCCAACGACTGGCACACGGCGCTGCTGCCGGTGTACCTGCAGGCCTACTACCGCGACACGGGCCTCATGGAGTACGCGCGCGCCGTGCTGGTCATCCACAACATGGCGCACCAGGGCCGCGGGCCGGTCGCCGAGTTCCCGTGGCTGGGCCTGCCGCAGCACTACCTGGACAAGTTCAAGCTGTACGACCCCATCGGCGGGGAGCACATGAACATCTTCATGGCCGGCCTCATCACCGCGCACCGCCTCGTGGCCGTCAGCCACGGCTACGCCTGGGAGTGCCAAACGCAGGTCGGACTTCACCACCGCCCCGCCCCGTGCGGGTCCAGGTCCTCAGCACCCGGCTGGTTGGCCATCGCGAAATGCATTTGCGCTGCTCCATGCTCTCCTGCCGTAGCCTTGTCCTGTTGGCTCACTCTGTGCATGGTTGGGCCACATGGGTTACCAAGCGCGCTTAGGATTCTAACGCTCCTCACCCGGGTAGGACTTTTGTCAAGATGGTCTAGTAGGGCGGAGGCAGCATTTCGGACCACTGTCATAGGCACCACTCGTGAAAGCAGAGGTCCCTGCGCACTGTACCCTGGCTGCGCGTGCGCGTGCGGGCCGCGCTGGCGGTGCTGACGGGCGTGGTTGTGGACGTGTGCAGGACGGGGGCTGGGGCCTGGACGGGGTGCTGCGGGACCACGGGTGGAAGCTGCGTGGCGTGGTCAACGGCATCGACACGCAGGAGTGGCACCCCGAACGCGACACGTTCTTGCGCGACGACGGGTACCAGAACTACGGCGTGGCCAGCCTGGAGGCGGGCAAGGCCGCGTGCAAGGCCGCGCTGCAGCGGGAGCTGGGCCTGCCGGAGCGGCCCGACACGCCGCTGCTGGGCTTCATCGGGCGGCTGGACTACCAGAAGGGCGTGGACATCATCCAGCAGGCCCTGCCCTGGCTCACCGGCCAGGACTGCCAGCTCGTCATGCTCGGAACGGGTGCGCGCGCGTCTCCTCCTTCAGTCTGTCTGCAACTTACGTCACGCATGACCAGGCGAGCTGGACTCGGCTCCGCTCTCCTGCTTCGCCTTCTGCATGCGCGCTTGCTCGATCGGATGTGCGCCGTGCTGAGTGCCCGTGGCTACGGCTGCAGGGCGGCCGGACCTGGAGGACTTTTTCCGCAGCGCGGAGGCGTCGCACCACGACAAGGTGCGCGGCTGGGTGGGCTTCAGCGTCAAGATGGCGCACCGCATCACGGCCGGCTGCGACCTGCTGCTCATGCCCAGCCGCTTCGAGCCGTGCGGCCTCAACCAGCTGTACGCCATGCAGTACGGCACCGTGCCCGTCGTGCACTCCGTGGGGGGGCTCCGCGACACCGTGCAGGTGCGCCGCTGCGGGCACGCCCGAGCGGGGGTTTCCACCCAGTCAAGAGAGAGGAGCTCCGGAAATCCTTTCGTGGCCGGGCCCGAGTCTACGGGTCCCTTCTCTTCGTGCCTCGTTTGTCTCGACTGGTTCGCTTCGGGTGATTGACCACTAGCATCTCAGCCAGTCTGTTTCCCCCTTTAGCGCACTGGGCCTGCCTGCTGGTGCAATCTGCCCCACCGCCTGGCCAGCATCCATGCGTACCCGCCTCGTGTCCCACTCTCGCGCCGTACCCTGGGTGCAGCCGTTCAACCCGTTCGACAACAGCGGCACCGGGTGGACCTTTGAGCGCGCGGAGGCCAACGGGCTGATCGACGCTGTGGGCAACGCGCTGTACACATACCGCGACTTCCGGGACAGCTTCCGCGACCTGCAGCGGCGCGGCATGACGCAGGACCTGAGCTGGGAGGCAGCGGCGGCGCAGTACGAGGAGACGCTGGTGGCGGCCAAGTACCAGTGGTGAACAGCCACGCCTCTGTGCCGCCCCCGCTGCATGCCTGCGCCCAGTGGGGCCCTGCTGCTGATTGCTGCTGTCACAAGGAGGGGAGGCGCTGCCGCCATGCATGACCACGTGCCGGGTGGTGGCGCTTGCTGGAAGCATGGATGTAAGGGAGACAAACTGACAGCTAACAAAAGGTTCAGTGAACGTTCCGGAAGAGACAGCAGGTACACTCAGCAATGGTTCGAGATACACAAGACCAAGCGAACGGCATGTTGGCCACCCGACGAGTTTTTCTCTTGCTAACGTTGTGGTCCATGCGTCATTCAGGGACCTTTGAGGAAAGGGGCCATTGGACTCCTTTCTACATCGTCAAATGTGGAAGGGCCAGTGCTCTCGCTGGCTAGCATGCCCACACGGTGGGCTGACATGTGTTTTGAGGCTCAACCTGATGAGCACCGCTTACGCTCTTGGTCTCGCGTGCATCCAGGAGCGTTACCGCTTGAATTAATGTTGGCAGCGCTGCTAGCTAGTAGCCTGGCCGAAGTCCTCGCAAGGTTATAACATTGCATGTTTAGCACAAATGCCAGTCGAAGATTGAGCTTCGGTAAAGCCCTTTTGCTAAGGGAGCGTTGACATTGGAGTCTTACACCGGCACTCGTTTCTCAGCTCTATTCCAATCAGAAAGTGATCGGATTTTCATGTTCAGTTGCTTCCTACCAATGTAAGCGGCTGCTCGTGATGGTCACGAGGGTTGGATTGCATAATTATTCGGCGTCCGGTCTTGCATGCTATTTGGTTGAGGATACCAGTGCATAATTCTTCAGGGATATCTTACCAGACGCCATGTGCAGCCTGCAACTCGATCAATTGCATGCAACCTTAGCAAGTTGCGCAACATCCTAAAAAAGCATACTTAAGAAGCGTTCCTTGTCACAAGTGGTATTGAAATGTTGTGTGGTCAATCTTTACCGTATGAGGCTAAGGGCAACCAAGTCGCTGACTTTCAGTGATCGCGATTTCGGCGACTCATGCATGAGCTAAGCTTACACACACTTCCACATGGACCGTACTCTTATGCAACTTAGGCCACAGGCAAGATTTGATAAGGATCACTTGTCATGAACTTACACGCAACAACCGTCGGTTCAATGGAAACCGAGGGATCGGCTAAATACGTCGACGATTGTTCCGTGTCTCTGATAGGAGCTATACTATGATACACATGGTTAAGCACGTGCAATGCATGACAAAGATATGTAGAGACCTTAAACCTTATTCTTTTCACTACACAGGCTTGCATGTGGCTGCGCCACATTTGCTCCGCCCATGACCCCACATATGTAATCGAGTCATGCAAAACAATCGCATGTGCGCGACGCGCCTGGCCGGCCGGTCGTAATGATGCGCGCGCCGCACGTGGCAACTTGCACATGACGATTTGCAAGTCCTCGCCAAATGCATCTGCGACCGCCTCATCAACGGCAAAAACAAGATCCAAGTGATAATGCCACTACAACTCAGATTGCAAATCATCTCCGTCGATTGTCCCGACGGTAACCGGTCATATTACGGTTGGAGCCTCCAATTCTCCGCGGAGGGCCCCAACCTCATATACTTGGCATGTGAGTGCATGTCGGAGTATGTCATGAGGTACGAACATTGCCAGACGCTGACATGTGAGTGACTTGCAGCCGCAGCAAGCTGCATACAAAGTCCAATCAACCCCGGCCTTGTACCCCGATCTCATCAAAGCCTTGGAGCGTTGCACGATGATGGCTCAATGTGCCTTAGGGACGGTTGAGAACGGCAGTTGACCATTGATCGACGCATAAGTATGCATGGCCGGCCCGGTCACGTGTGCAGGGCAAAGCGAGGGCAAAGCTAGCTCAAGCCTGGCATGGGCCCGGCGCGGGCCCGGCCTCGGATACAGCGAGAAGTGCATGGGCCGGCTGCACCTTTTGGTGTATCGATATCGTTCAAATTTGCGGCCGGGCCCCTGGCAGGCCAAAAACCCATATGTGACAAGCCGGCAAATAATGCATACCGTGTATATGGTCGGCAAAAGCATACCCCCAGCATACCGTCCGACTAACCTGGCACATGCAAGTATGGTTCTTCAAGCGTTTATCATTCATGGGATGATCAAGTAATTGAATATCGAGCCCGTCATACATGGGACGTGTTAATCCATGCAACAAACCATTTAACTTATTGTTGAGTAAGTTGGATCTTGAACATGATTTCAAACGAACGTATATCGATATCGAACATACAGTGACACATGCATATACAATCGGACAATCGAACTTTATGCGCATAGCGCCCCGCCATCGTCAAACATGTTGAGAGGTCATGACACCGGCCCTGCAGTACTAGCTGTGTTCAAGTATTATTTTGCATGTCTACGATAGTAACGGCGCTCGAGCGGCCCGCGTAGAACTTCGGAAACTTTCTATAAGCTTGTTGCTTCATCGATAATTCTGGGATGTATATACGGTAGGATGGAATCAAACGGTCATCGATCACATTATGTGCTATGCACAACGCCATGATCGAGTGGCACATCATGCTCGGTAGTTGAATTGCTTGTTAGCGTCCATGTAGCATTAGGGTTTGCATACCTTGTTGGACATGACTCGTAGCCGTAGCAAGTTGCGGAGTCGAAAAACAAACTCCCGGCCGCGCCGGAGACCGTGCTCCACGGCCATGGCGGCTAAGGGCGTTAATAAATTGGAAGTTACCATCAGATCTTGGTCATCGCGATCAGATCTTAAGTCCAAACTCGGAACTCCAAAAACTTTGTACGTGATTTTGTGCCGGCCATGATCCATGAGCAAGTACATAGAATTTGCATGAAATTAGAAGCTATACTACAGTGGCCGCCATTTTCTCGATTTATCGACGGGTTTTCAAGATCGGGTTATTCAATGAAACGTATGGATGTGAGTGCATATCATGCATTTTCGTCGCATATATGATATCAAATCATTGAATGTGATTGCATGGTAAACCATCATTAGTAAACAACACCAAAATGGCCTGGACCATGGCGGCCCTTTGATGCAATTGGATATGAACCTTAAAATCATGTCTCGATTATTCAAACGCGGCAAATGAATAGTGCTCGCTAAAGACGCCAGCGAAGCGGCCTGTAAGCGATATCTGTAAGCGATATGGAGCCAGCATGATTCAATTGGTTTCCAATCAGGTTTGCAGATTCAATTGTACAACTAAAAGGCGGACCATCACAAAAAGGCCTGGGATTTGCGCATGGTCTGTGTTTATCATTTGCAACAAAGCCCAAAAGCGTAGTCTACAGACGTATCTGAATTTTCAATCGCTTGTAACCCCAGCCTTCTGCCGCTAATGGAACTAAAAGTCTGTACGGACAGCTCTGTCTAACATATGTTTGAGCATTCATAGTGTACAAAGTCGGAGCGAGTTTGCTCCCCAGGCGTGCGGTTCTGTGTAGCGAGCTTGAGCGTGCACATATGGGCGAGCCTCATCTTTCCTCTCGACCTCTCCGGGTTCTCTCCGGCTCCCTCCTCTCCTGCTAGAGGCGTATCCACCGGCACTCGCCGTGGCGCCCGGCCTAGTTGCGCTGCAACCGGCTGGCGTGCCGGTCGGCGCCAAACATCTCCACTCCCGTGTCCGCTCTGCAGCACGGAGCAGGCACACCATGGGGTGGGGGGCGGGTGGCCGGTGGAACTCCCGGAATACTTGACTTTTCAAAAGTAGGGGCTGAACACTTTCAGACCACAATGAGTCACACCAAAAGAGAGAAACTTTAGCTGAACGAGCGGAAGGAGCATCTTCTTGAATAGGAAGCAGATCTCTGTGCAGTACTAGGATCTCGTCACACGAACGAGGCCTCTTTTGACGCGGGATCCAGATTCTTCTTGGTATCGCATGCAGCAGCCCCAAAGCCGATCAATCTGATCTGCCAAACGGGAGCCAAGTCACAAGGCTTTTGCGGAAGACGGTCACCGTCTTTGTGCTTAGAAACGCTTGTATTGAAACCCATTCTGGGTCAGTCAGGAAGAGGGGAATCAGCAGATTACTTGAGCAGATACAAGAATCAGAATATCGTCTCGATTCGCCTCCCGTCACCAGTAGGGAGTCCTCTGTCCACCTCCTCGTCGCCTTTCTCCTGCATCATCGTGCTCTGCCACTGCAGTCGCCCTTCGTTGGCAGCCCCCCTGCCCACCGGGGCCCCGACCGAAAGCCCCCCCCCCGCCCGGCGGCTGCTCCTCTGCCCGCAGCTCGACTTCCCCCCCCTCCCCGGGCGGCGCTCACCTGTAGACGTGTGTGAAGAGCTCGGCCTCCTCGGGCTCCGGGCTGGCCTCGCTCTCCTTGACCGCCGCGTCCACCTCCGCACGGCACTCCTTGGCCAGCGCCTTCAGCTCCTCCGCCGTGGCCAGCCCCTCCTGCACGCAGGGCGCACCGCGCCAACGTCACCGGGGAAGAAGAGAGGGCGGGCGGGGTGGGCAGCTTGGAGAGAACAAGCGGGGTATGAACGAGGGGGGCACATGCGAGGGGGTGCGGCAGTGGTACCTTGGTGATGAGCTTGTGCACGAGGTCGATGGGGTCGCGCTCGCGGCGCACGCCCTGGATCTCGTCGCGCGTGCGGTACGTGCTGCCGGGGTCAGACATGGAGTGGCCGTGGTAGCGGTACGTGTCCATCTCCAGCAGGATTGGGCCGCGCCCAGCCAGGCACCACTCCTTGGCGTGCGCCACCGCGACCTTGACCGCGAACACGGACATGCCGTCCACCTTGATGCCCGGGATGTAGCCCACGCGGTCGTAGAAGCCGTGGTGCGCCGACGCGCGCGCCTCTGCACGCACGCAGCAGCAGGCTCAGCGGCAAAGGGCGCAGGGCGGCAAGCAGCGCAGGCAACATTGCCGATCAGGCGGCTCCACACGATTCGGATGGGAGCGGAGGGGGCAACGGAGCAGGAAGGCTGAGCGGCGCAAGGGGAGACACGAATCCCGGTAGCTGCGGCGAGAGCGCCCCCGCGCCAGGGGTGACGAGCCCACCTACCTGAGGTGCCCATCCCTGCACGGACCGAGGCGGGCGTCAGCACAGCGGCAGCAAAAGGGCGGTGAGGCATGAGCCGCAAGACGTCTTCCACAACCAATGGAGCAACGGAGCCCTCAGACGCGGCCACCCGAGGGAGTGGGACGCAAGCAGGGCGCGCAGCAGGGACAAAGGCAAGGGCCCAGGCAGGACCGCCTGAGGCGACAGCAGTGGGGGCCGACGGGGCTAAAGTCGCTCACCGAAGTGGTTGTTCTCGACAACGTACACGATGGGCAGCTTCCACAGCGCCGCCATGTTCATGGCCTCCGCCACCTGGCCCTGGTTGGCGCTGCCGTCGCCGTACATCGCCACCGCCACGTTGGGCCTGCGCGGAAGCCCGACGCATGGCCCGTCAGAGGACCCACAGAACGAGCCGAGAGTGGACCACACAGGCACAGGGGGCCCCGCACAGCCGAGAGGCTGCTCAAATTCAGCTGGGGGAAACGAAGGAACAGCAAGGCCGTCAAAGCGGACTGCCCAACAGCCGCAAAAGCTCACCGCACTTGTACGAAATGTCAGATGATTCTGGCAGAGGTGAAGCTATCAAAAGAGTCTCAGCATGTCAACGCTCATTCCGGTCGTGCTGGGCTGCTAGACATGCGCACTCACTTTTTAAGATACTGCAGCGCGTACGCCAGGCCGGTGCCCAGCGGAGGGGGAGTGCCCACCTGAGGCAAAAGCGATGCTCCTCAATGGGGGCAGAACAGCATAGGCCGCAACACGTTCGCCAATGAGTCACCAGGAAAATCGGGGTCGCAAAGAGTCGGCCATTGAGTGTGACTGGTGCCAACACACAAACGATTGCCTGTCTGACAAATATGACGCATACGACGTGCAGGGGTGCATGACACTTGGGCTCACTCTCTGTAGTCAATGGATTGGGTGCCACATGAACACGAATCCAACCCAATAAGAAGGCACTTCACAGACCAAGGCAATCAACACCATCTCCTGCTTTTGGTCAGGACAGCACAGGGCGTTCATTTGGGGCCTTGGCGATCTGGCAAGATTGCGACGGGGGCTCTCACAATGCCATTTCCCCCGTAGTAGTGGTGATCTGCAACAGGAACGAATAGCCATGACAAACTGCTCATTTAATTCCCAGACATAGACAAACTTGTCAAGAGCAGTTTTTCTTACTTCGTATGACGCTTTTGCATGAAACGTTGGAAGAAATCTATCGTAATCAGCAACTGAAAAGCAATGAGCTGGTCACTTTCAGCGGCAGGTATATCTGCTTCACTCTTGCTCTTGACCAGCTATGCTGCTCTGATGCATAGAACAGCCCAAGCGCGCCCCCAATCGAGGCATATGACTGGCAGTGGGGCCAAATTGCGGGCCACTGCCTGCTCAGATTGAGAATGCATCTAATTCGGGGGAGGGGGAGGGAAAGGAGACAGATGGACGAGAGGAAGATTCAGATTTGAAAAGCTGACTCTAATCACGGGCTTTAGGGGCCCTTGAAATTGTTTTTCTTCTGATTCAGGCCAGTGCGATAAGAAGCCCTCTCTTGGTGCATAGCCAGACAAAGCAAGTGGCCCTTCCTGCCAGCTCGTGTCTTTGCGCGACTCACCTAGGTGGTACATGTGCATGGAGCCACCCTTCCCGCGGCTGCACCCCGCCTGCCGCCCCAGCAGCTCTGCCACCACCTGCGCAGGGACGCAGCCAGGCACCACCGCTCAGGAGTCCACTGGGTAACACCCGCCACCACTGGCGCGGGTCACACAACCTGCGGGCAGTCGCGCAGTCCTCCACAATTCAATGCCCTCTGTGGGGCCTCCAAAAGCCACCACCTGTGGACTGGACCCCTCCTTGGCTGCCACCCGACCCTGCAGACAAGCGCCAGTAGGAAGCACACAGCTGTGTAAGCTCCAGCCTGCCTTGCCCGCCATGCCGGGCGTGCCCTCGGCGGAGTGCTGGTGGAGCTACCCCCTGCCGCTCACCTGTGTGACGGTGGCCCCACGCCCCAGGTAGTTGCAGTGCTCTGCAGCAAACAGCCAAGAAACACGTCAGCACCACCTCCGCCACTGTTGAGGCCCCGGGGCAGGTGGGGCAAGGTAACCTCACAAGAGCCTGCCTCAGGTGTGCTCTTCCCGCCTAGCCCAATCGCGCGTGCTCCGTGCGCTCACCCCGATATGCAGTAATGAGGGGGTCTTCCCACGTGAGCGCAGCCTCCATGCCCACTGCCACCGCCTCCTGGCCGTCGTACAGGTGGCAGAAGCCGCGAATGTGGCCCTGCTTGTACAGCAGGTCCGAAGCGATCTCCATGCGGCGCATCACATTCATCACCCGGAAGAAGCGGAACAGCTCCTCCCCACTCGTCTCTGTGTGCTGGGGGGGCGGATCGCAATTGTGAGCCAGAAACTGCATGCACACAGGAGGGCCCAGGTCAGCTCGCACGCACACACCCTGAGTTCCCCCTGCGAGACAATGCTGGCCATAGCTGCCATGCATGCATGCCGCGCCGGGCCGCGGTGCCCCGGGTTAGCTGCTCACCGGCACAGGGATGTCCACGGGGATGGGCTTGTCATCCTGCGCTGGCGAATGCTGCTCTGCCTGGCCGCTCCAGCTGCGGGCCAGCAGGGCATCAGGCCACGACAACACGCGCCCGCCGCCCCCAACCCGACTCAAGAGGGGCAGCCCGCAGCGGAGCATGGCACCCGCGACAGGCATGGGGACAATACTGTGCAGCAGCTGGAACGAAGTCCTTGCAAATTGAAATGGAATTGAGAGCTAGATAGTAGATACGATTGGGGCAGATTGAACGCACATTCGCTGCGAGTCTGACGACTCTGACCACTAAACAAATTAAATAGACTCGACTCGACTCAGATCGAGGAACTGGTCACTTTGCGAGCTTTGACAAATCAACCTGCACTCTGCACTTCGTCATGCTGGCATTGCTGCACGTCCGGCCGCGCAGTGGCGTTCCTGGCACCTGCGGCGATGGCAGTATACTGGTAGTACCGCACTATTAAGACTACGGTGGCAGCAGGACGGATCTACCTACGTTAGCAGCTGTGCATTTGGACCAGGGGCCAAAGGCTTTGGTGGAGGCATACTACCAGAATGCTGGCCCAGGTTCCGTGGAAGTAACGGTTCAACGGCAAAGCTGATGTTGATAAGACTATTGTATTAGGTCCGTGTGGTAGTTCTACTCCTGGTTGTGGTGGTGCAGCCCTTCGCTACGTACCCGCCGACATGGCGCTGTCGTGGACCGCTTCTTTTCTTCGTTGCCGCTCGCTTGAGTGGGCCGCGCTGCTGCGCCCCTGCGCCGCCTTGCCTCTCGCACCCCTGGCCCACCAGCCCTTCACCTCGCATGCCTCGCTCGAGGTGCCCAAGTCTTCTGCCATGGCCGCCCCCGTCAACAGCTCCCTTGCGGGGTTGCCCCATCAAAGTGTCCCGTGCGAGCGGGAGGCGCTGCTGACGTGGCTGCGGCTGCTGCCCGGGCAGTCATGGGGGTGGTCGCCACGACCACGCATCGACGCAGAGGCGGAGAGGGACTGGCAGCGCCTGCTGCTGCTGCCGCAAGGGGCGTGGATCGGGGTGCCAAGCACACAGGAGCATCAGAGTGAGCGCCCACGCAGAGAGGGGAAACAGGCCGTGCCAGGTGGCGGCGCGCATCGGAGAGCCAGCGCTAGGATCAAGTGTCTTAACCCCAAGTGGAGAGGATCGCCGTTGCAAATGCTGCGCTCCCAATGCCCCCTTGGCACTTCAACATTCCCTCTACCGCTCTTTCTGGGTTGTGTTTTCCTTTTTTCAGCTGCCCGGCGGGCTTTGTCTCTTCTCAGGCGAGCGCGGCTGGCGGTGATACTGCCTCTGCTGATGCTGCCCTGCTTGCTTCTCCTGTGCAGGCCCGCCCAGCTGTCCTCCTACCTTCGGGCCAGAGTGAGGACTGCACTGTTTGACGTATGACGGTTGTGCTTCCAACAATGTATGAAGGAAGAAGCTGCTGCTCGTGCTTCCAACCGCTCCTGCCTGCTCTGTTTTGCGGCCCTCTCTTGTGCCCAGGCTTGCGCTGCCGGCCTGTTTCTGTTCGTCATCGGCAGTGTCAGGCAGAGGCCCAGGCTGTGTGTGTGGGCGTGCGTGCAGGGCGCTGCAGGCCGCCACCAAGCGCACGTACCAGCCCAGTAATCTGAAGCGCAAGAGGACGCACGGCTTCTTGATCAGGTGGGCCAGCAGATCGACGCAAGCGTCGCTGCTCTGCTCCAGCAATGGGATCGCGCTCGAAGGGGCCACTGAGGCTGGGCCCAGACAGTAGATGCAGGCGGTGCCACCGGCTCGCCCCTTGGAGGCCATGCTGTGTGTCACCTAGATCGTGCTTTTGGATAGAGCAAGTTCCGTTCCTCTTTTCTGACAGGGTTTCTACTGCTGCAGAAAACAAAGTGTTGGGGGACGACGGGTTTTGGCAAGGCGAATCGCAAAGGGACGGAAAAAACTCTCTGCTTGAGCGGTCACCGGGCTTGCTTGACACTCAGCAGCCAGTTTGGCGGAGTGGGGAACTACCTTGCACGTGGGGCTCGATAACAGTCTTCAGGTCTGCATTTGCGCCGCCGGATCGACATTGGTCGTTGCTTGCGCAACCATTGCAAGTTCTCTATATTCCAAGTTCATTTTGATCGCAGCGCTTTTTACAGTCTACTCAGGTCGCTTACTACACATTATGAATGGCAGCCCCCCAATCTGCCACATATGCTTGGTCGTTCACTGACCAACATCGAGCTCATTTTTGTAAACCTCAAGGCAGCTAGCCGCTGCTTGTACACTAAATGCACACTTGCGGGCTTACATGTTACACGAGTGAATGCACAAAGGGTCCCATTGTGCATGACGGTTCAAAATGCATCAAAGGTTGCGCGCGTAAGGTCAGTCCATGCACTTTCAAGGCCGATTGATCAAGAAACGTTATGAGCATTTAGGATCGGACGGCTAAGTACGTATAAAGCTAAACCTCAACGACTTATCATTTTTTGGGTCAATGTTGGCCTCAGCCTACTTCTGAGGCGTATATAGATGCACATGGCCCATGACAGCTGTATGTGTACTCGCGGAGCCTCATCAATTCTAATGCGGTTGATTATAGATCTTTCAACCGCGGCCGACCTGTGGCACCCTAGGCCTATCCCCCGGTGTAGGACCTACACACTGACGACTCCACCCGTCATCTAGATTGAACAACGTGCAGGCACTCGCTTGCAACCGTCAATCGTTTTCAGCTAGATGGTACCTGAGCCGAGCTTATTGGGGACAACTGCATGAGCTGCATGCGCAATGATCGTACTCATTTGTGCAAGCACTGCCCAATCGTCGACTTAGTGCACATGCAAGACCCCGCAAATTTGAACTTCCTCCGCAGAAAGCAATAACACTGAAGGGCAACTCTCAGCCTCATGAAGGATGGAGCAACACATTCGAGGTACGGATTAAAAGCAGCAATAAGTGACGAAATGCGACCCAATTGCTTATAGTCTGACCTTATCACGCCAGCTTTCATTCTCAAACCAATCGTCACGTTCTTCCCCATTGTGTCTGGACGGTACGGTTATGCCAAGCTCATGAGACTGCGCTCTCCCGAGCCTGCAAGCCTTGCCCCGGCCCGGCGGCCAGTGGCGCAAGCTGTTTGCGCATGAGGCTGCGGCGGCGCTGCAGGAAGAGCCAGCTGAGGGGCGTGTCGCGCGCCACCACGCAGTACCCCACTCCAGCGTAGACGTGCTGCGGGACGGAGTCCACAAAGCGCACATGCAGATACAGCGCGCGCTTGCCCAGTGCCGCCGCCAACTCCTCTGAGGCTACCAACAGCTGGCGGGCAACGCCGCGCCTGCACCCCCACCACACGCTCAGAAGCACGCCGGGGCCCAAAGAGGAGAATACTAGATTGTCAACGAAAGAAGCGGCCACCATCAAATCAAAAAGCATAGAAAAGGACCTCCTTCGCTCTGCACGCGTTTTGTGTTTGAGCGCGGCAGCATGTATGGTGCGCTGTACGCGGCCGACCTGCGGTGGCTAGGCTGGACCGCCATGTTGGAGAGGTAGGCGCTGGAGCGGTGGGGCGGGACGTTCAGTGTGGGGAAGCGGGGCAGGCTGCGCACCGCAAACGCGAGGCTCACAGTGCCCACCAGCACGGCTTGAGCCAGCGGGGGATCCCCTGAAGAGGCAGGGGGGGGATACCAGAGGGCCGCCTGGAAGTTCCAACACAAGAGGGCAGAGGTGAGAAGGATGGAGACAGCGACAAGTGAGAGTAGCACCATCAGAGGACGCGGACATGAGCAGCCTCCTTCGCACATTCTCAATGGCAACACACCGGCCAGCACCAAGTCCCCAGCTGGACAGGGCGCTGCAGCGCTGGTGTGTTTGTCTGTGGTAGGCGTGCTGGGGCGCGCGCGCACCAGGCAGACCCCCTGGCCCTTGGCGAAGAAGCGCTCCTGCTCCGCGAGGTACCTGACAATCTGCGTGCGGATGTAGCCCACCAGCGACGCCGCGTCAATGGAGTCCGCAAAGGACTCCGCCAGCAGCCCCACCGCCGCCTGCACCCCCCACCACCGCAGCCAGCGTCAGCCGCGCACCAGGGAGCCCTGCCGCAAACGGCGCTGCGCCAGGCAGCTGCTAGGCAAAACAAGGTGGTGGCGCCCCTGGCTGCCCCGCCTGCCCGCAGCGCAAGGCCTTGCTGCGGTGCTCTCTGTGGGGTGTGCTCCAGGGCGGCCCCTGTGCCAGCTCACCTCGTAGTGCTCTGCGTCCAGGGGCTGGATCACGAGGCGCCCCCCCTGGTGCGCCACCTCACGCCGGTAGCCCGCCACCAGCTGTGCTGGCGACACTGCCGGCCAGAGGGCCTCTGGGGGCACACGGCTCTCTCCCTCCAATGCACCTCCATTGCTCCCCCTCTGCGGCTCCACCTTAGGTGCATCCCGCGCGCTGCAGGAACACAAAGAGGCCGCCCGCCGCTGCACTTGCGGAGGGTCCAGCGGCCAGCCATGCCCGAGCAGCGGCCAGAGGGAGCCCCAGGACGGAGCAACAGCGAGCGGCTGTTGAGGGCGGCAGCTTCTGCGGGCGCCATGTCTTGCAGGCGGCTGGTCAGCAGGGCGGCGGCATGGGCGGCCAGGACAGGGTGGGCCAGCTGCAAGGGGAGACTCCAAGGCAGGCCCCAAGCCACGGCAATGGGGAGCGAGCCAGGCCGTTCCAGTGTGGTGGAGGTACGGGGGCGGCAGGGGAACCTGGAAGCACACCGCCATAGCCCCCGCCACCGTGTGCCGCTACCATGGGAGAGGATGACTCGCACGATCCATGTGAACAGACCGACGCCGACGGCGAGAGTTGAAGCCCATCTCCTACAGCAGTTTCCCTGCACACCGTCCGACAACATTGAGGGGAAACCGCGGTACCATTGAAACGGTAGTCATCGGTCTACCGTTTCTCTGGGCAATCCATCTCGAAGGACATCGACGACTTCATGCCCGGTTCACATGCGTCCAGTTTTGCTCAGTTTTGCTTGGTTTTGCCAAATATGTCCGACGTGGCAGCTCCGTAATCAGCGGGACGCATATGAACACCACTTTCGAAAACCGAGCAAAACCGAGCTCGGTATTTGCCGAGTATCCGAAAACTGGCCAAAACTCGCTGAAACTCGACCGCATTTCAAAGCTGCGTATTTGTCAAAACCGAACGCGGTCGACGGAGGCCGCGTTTTGAAAGATGAAAACGCGGCCCATTTTGCCGAGTTTTCGCCGGTTTCGGCAAACTTTGAAAACGCATGTGAACCGGGCATCAGCAGCTTGCCGTTCCATTTACCGGTACCGTTTATGAAAGTTGCAACTACAGTACTTCGGACTCTGTGTTATGCCGCTCCGGGGCTGCGGGGCTGCGGGGCTGCGGGGCGCAGCGGAGCCTGCTGCGGGGCGCAGCGGAGCTGCGGGGCCGGGCGGCCCGCAGCTCGCGCAAGCGTGACCTGACATCTAGCTAGCTGAAATACCGTAGTAAAGGCTAGCAGCTAGCTAGTACTAGTAGCTGCGTGACCACTGCCAGCATCTGCTCGACTCGATGAACTGTGCAAACTGCAATGGACTTGCTTGCTTCAATCTTTGCTGATGTGCTTCGCGTCTGACGCCGCACATTGCCCCCGCCCAGCAGTTGCCGAGCCGCGGCATGGCGGCTGCCCGCTGGACCCCCCCGTCAGCGTGCTGCACGTTGGAGGCCCCGCAATGAGCTTCCACAGGAGGCAGGAAGCGCCAATGCTGGCACAGCCCTCCGCAGCTCCCCTCCAAAACAGGCGAGTGGCACTCCGAAATATGACTGATCACACGGGCAGCAGGCATTGAGGCTGCCTGCCTCCTTGAGACCTCGGAAGGGCGTTTTCGGGCTGTGTTTCACATTTGCTTTTCCTCACTATCGGCCTTCTCTGTGCAGGTTTGAGGACATTCAAACACCCCTCCTTCCCCCTCTGCAATCGCCCCTGCCCCGCCTCTGGGGCTTGGGCCTTTTTGGGCTGCTGCTGGTGGGTGCCACCCTGCGAGGGATCTAGGTTGATGGGCCGCTCGTGCAATGTGCCCACTCTGTCCTGCCTGGTCTGCATGGAACCAGCCTCTCATTCTAGTTGCTCGGCTGGTCTTCTCCAAGTGGCTTGTTGCATCCTGAAGCCCCTCCTGTGCGCCCTTTGGCCTGTGGCCTCACCCGGTTGCGAGCTGTGGCCAGGCCCTGCTGCTGCCCCTGCTCCTGCTGGACCCCCTGCCCCGGCCCCTCGCGGGGCTGCCCGCCTGGCAGCTGCGCGCCGCGGCTGCGCTGCTGCTGCTTGGAGCTACGGGTGAGCCCCCCAGCCCCCCGCTTGCCTCCTGCCCCTCACTCACCTTCTTGCCGCCCCCACAGTCACCCTGCACTGCCCCCGTCCTGCCCCCGGCTTGATGTGCCTCGTCTGATGCGTGCGCCGTTGGCGCCCTTCCCCTGGCAGGCTGCCTGGAGCGCCACCTGATCTCCCTCCAGAAGCATGTCCGCCGCCAGGTGAGCGCCTCCTCACTTGGGCATGCGCCCGTATGCCGTCCAGCCCGAGCCTAGTACTCCAGGTGGCATGCCCTGCCCTGGCCGGCTGTGCTGACGCCCCTTCTCCCGGTGCGCGGACATGCAGGGCCACCTGGGGGCCTACCGCCGCCTCAAGCCGCTCAGCCGCCTGCCACTGCTCTTGGCTACAGCAGGTCAGGCCCTCATCTCGCCACCCTTGCCCCCGTTTGTGTCTCTGCCGACCCCACCTGGAGACAAGTACGGTGTGCCACATTGCCCGTGCTTCTCAGGCTGGCCTGCACCCATTGCACCCCTTGCGCATCCCTGCAGGGCTGGCGGGCCTGCTAGCAGTGGTGGTGGGGTCTGCGGGGCACCGTCGGGGTTCCGAGTGGCGGGGGCCAGCCGTGAGGTAGGGCGGGGGTGATGCATGGGCATGCGCTGGGAGGGGGTCCCCCTTGTTCCGCCGCAGCCAGCATGGCGCATTGCGCGTCTCCTCCTCCATGCCGTACCTGGCGCTCACCCTTGCCTTGGTTGTGCCCCCCCAGGTCCATTGTGGGTGCAGAGGTGCTGCTTATTGCCGCCGCTGTGGCTCGCTACACTGGTGAGGGCCCCTTGGCTTCCCAGGCAAGGGCCACCGCTGGGCAGGGGTTTGCAGCACCCTTTCACGTTTGCCGCCCTGCGTGGCCACTACGCTGTCCCTTTGCCTGCCTCCTGTTGCTCCATCTCGCCCCTGCTGCAGTTCATGTCGCCCTGCTTCGTCCTTACTGCTGAGCCCCATTTCCTCTGCCGTTGTCCCCTCCCCTCCCAGCGCTCCTCCTGCAGTTGCCGCAGGGTGTTCCCGCCCCAGACACGGCCTCCTGCCTGCACTCCCCTCTGCAGTCGCCGCTGGCCCCATCCGTCGCCCCGCAGTGAGTCGGACCGAGCAACTCCTGACCGGCCAGCTTGGGGCAGGTCGCACAACTCTGCCTGAGCTTCCCTGTGGCCAGTGCCACCCGCCTGCGTGCCTGTTCCCCTCGTCCTTCTGCCCCACCCGCCTGTGCGTGTGCGTGTGCCTGTGCAGCGTGCCCGCCGCTGGCGCTGCCTCTGCCTCGCAGAGTGTGCTCGACCATCAGGCGGAGCTCCTTCGCTTCCACCAGGAGCGCATACATCACCTGGCGGCAGAGGTCAGCCCCCCCCCCCCGTCCTCGCTGCGCGGCCCACCCTGCCTGGACTGATTAAGCCAGGACCAAGGCCGCTGGCCGCCCGCTGGGTTTGAGCATGCCCGCTCTAGCGTCCTCCTGTTTCTGGCCGCCGCCCTGCTGCTGACTGCGGCTTCTCTCCGCTTCGGCCGTGGTGTGCAGGTGGTGCGGCTGCAGGAGGGTCTGGCGACCGCCGGCACGCGGCCTCCGCTGGCGGGGGGGCCCACTACGCAGGTGACGCGCCACCTCCACCGCCGTGCCGAGCTCCGGGTCGTCTCACTACTGATCTTGCGCAGTGCCCCCTCTCCGCCTCCTGCTTCCCGCTGTCCAGATCCATCTGCGCCTGGCCGTGGTATGCCTGCGGTGCTCGCCGCCCCACCGTCTCCCTGCACTGGTGTGCGCGTGCAGGCGGACCTGGAGTACGGGCTGGCCACCCGCGAGCAGGAGCTGCGCACCGTGGCAGCAGAGGTACCGCCGCGCCGCCCTCTGCTGGCCTGCCTGCTGGGCCCAGGCCGCTCGACGTCCGTAGCGCTGTGCTTCTCTGCGGTCATCTGGCGCATCTGCCTCGGGCCGCTTGTCCGCCTTGGAAAGCGTGAGCCGTGTTGCGGGGGTCTCTAACTGCGCTGCTGCGGGGGTGTGCGTGCAGCGGGACGTGCTGGCCCGCGAGGTGCGCGGCGTGCGGGCGGTCCTTGCGGAGGCGCAGGCCGAGCTAGCGCGCCTGCGCTCCGCGTCAAAGCAGGTGCCTCGCCCGTCCGTCCCGGCCCTCCTTTTAACCTTGACCTTTGCTTCTCTTTGAACGGGTTGCTCGATAACCTGAGCTGGCGGCACTTCCATCCATGTCTGTGATCATATCTGCGGCCTGAGTGCCCCTGCGTCTGATGCACGGGCGTGTCTGCCCCTGCCACTTAACCTGTGTGCTTGCAAGAGTGCGCGGTGTTTGCGGGCGCCCTTACCAGCATTCTGCCGTCGGCGTGCAGCATGTCGAGGAGAACGCGCGGCTGCGGGCCATGCGGGACGAGTGGAGTGCACGCAGTGCCAAGGTGAGGCCCCGCCGTGGCCGCCAAGACCGGCGCAGGCGATCGTGAGAGGGAGCCGGGGGCAGGCGGGCAGCAGGATGGGGGAGCAGGGTCCTCTGTGAATGCTGGTGCATGTTGGACTGTTCACGCCGTCTTCGCAACATCTGGGGGTTCTTTCTCGTGCTGGCAGCCGCTTGGCCGCCTGGCATGCCGATGACCGCCAGCGTTTCCGGGTGCAGCTGGAGCAGACCCTGTTGCAGGTGCAAAGAGGCACGGGCAGCACATGAGAGGAGGGGACCGACACCGGCGGTGCAGCCGAGTCAGCACGTCGCAAGCAAGTGCCTGGCTGAATCTTGAAGCACCTCACAGCGAAATTGCGCTTTCTTGAAGATGACCTCATGTGCACGTAATCAGCAACCGTCCTAGTCCTGTATGCGCTGCCAACTCAAGGTCCGAGTTGAATTCGGAGCCTATTTGGCTAACTGTGCTGAGGTTGGCTAGCTTGGCATTCTCATTGTGCGGCGCCAACTCAAATGGAGTATGATGGAGCCTTACCTTTTGGGATGATGCCAGCATGCCGTATTGGTTGGCAACCGAGAGGTCTGTGCCGAGAAGAGGCACATAGGTGAAAGTGTCGTTTGGATGTATAATTGTGACAATGAAGACGCAGTGGTTGCGAGCAAAACATATCCGTATCAGAATTTACCCAGCCTTGACCTCGATCTGCGTGGGCCATGCACCCATGCATAGACACAGTATGCATGTATTGTGGTTGCTGAGTATGTCATGTAGCCAACGTTAATTGGCGGCATCAAGCTGGACAGCGCAATTTTTCAACAAGCTTAATCTGGAAAGTAGTTGACTCACATCTGCAAAGATATGCGGGCTCGCAACCAGGAGCTCATGGTATCCCCTCAGTGTAAGCTTCTTGCGGCGAGATTCGCGTTTTAGCCGGCGCTCAGCTGTAAACATATGTCGTGCATCAGGCCTTAACATCTGTAGTGCAGATTGGACAATTGCCAGCTCACATACACAGCCCGAACGTACAGCTCCAGGCCCGAGGGCCCGGACAACTTAGCTTGCTCGGTATCGAAAACAGGGAGCTAGCTAAGTACGCCGCGAATTGGAGTTTGCCAGACTAGGTCGTCTAGCTATATCTGTAGGTCAAGCTAGCTACGAGTCACTAGTTAAGTCAGAAATTTGGTTTCGTCTAGAATGATCATACTGATATCAATTACACGTTTGACATGGTCTTTCATGCAATATATGCTTTTAATTGAGTAAGAGACTCAAGAGAGGGGCGAGGCCTTGATCTTCTTAAGCTTTTTCAAACTTGCATGCGTGCATGGCACACCGTGCATGCTGTACGTGAGCTTTGATTCGTGCATCTTGCCTTAAAACATTGAGGTAGCATTGTATATGACTCTCGTTGTCTTGAGCCAATCACGGCCGATCCAACATTCGTCGATTCGAGGGGCATTCCCTAGCTCCTTCGATGGATAGCAACTTTGAAAGCTAGAGAGCCACGGCGACTGAAGGGTCATCAGAATGCGGTGGACCTATAGCAGCGGTTATATGTAAAGGGGCGTGGATAAACGCAACCCAATTACCTATAAGATGCCAAATAATGATGCCCTCGCGTTATATCTTTAGGCGATCCTCGAAGGCATGCCTACTTAAGTTGCATTGCAAGGACAAAGAGCGGACCCGGAGCGGACAACTAGTATTTCATGTCTAGCTTGTCCGACGGGGTTTTCTGCCAAATTACTCCATCAAACCGCCTGATATTCCTGGATTGGGGTGCCGCAGCTCAACATCGCCAAAACCTGCTCTTTTACATGGTAAAAACCTAGGGATCCCTATATTCCTATACTTTCTCTGGTTCCCCTGTATGCGTCGGTGGGGCCACTTCCTTGGGCGCACGCGTCTCTGTGCTCCTTGAGAGCCTTGGAAGCACGCCTGCCACTCCTAGCAGGCGAGCCACAGTGTCAGATGGCTGAGCGCCTACGGAGAGCCAATACCTGCAAATCCCGCGGCGAGCCAAGTTAGGAACATGCGGTGTGAAGGTACAAGCAAGAACACTCAATCTGACATGAGACACGAGAGTTTCTGGTGAACTCCATCTCAATTTCGTCTTTAGCAACTCTGTATCAAATGAATCCAGAGGATTTACAAGGAGATTCTAATAGCTTGTTAAGGTGGCTGGTGAGTGACCAAGCTACCCCGTATTAGTCTTCCAGGACATGCCCACGCACGCCAGAGCGCCCAGCACATCACCTGGAAGCTCGACAAGTGCAGGTCTTCTCATAGAAACAGCCAGTCTAGTTGGTTGACCGCTATTGCCGTACTCTTTGACGCTGCAGTGACGGTTTGCACAGCTACGCCAGACCTGTGCTACAACTTATGAACCCACGCACAACAACTGGCGAAAGTCCAGTCCAGTCCAGAATGCTGTGCCGCCAGTGGTACCACCATCGCTTCCGCTCTGTCCCTGAACCCCCCCACAAGACAAGCAATGGCGCTGTGCCGCAAGGCGCACAAGACAGGCGCCGACTCACTTGATGCGCTCAAAGTCCAGGCCCACGTGCTTGTGGCCGTCTTTACCTGCACACAAGGGCAGGCTCAGGTCACCGTGTTGCGGGAGTGACCCGCAGCGGGGGTGCACAGCAGAACATGGTGGCACACACTTTCCGGCCAGGTGCAACCCATAGCAGCAGCATCGCACGCACGGATCTGAGCGTGCCCTCGAGGCTTACTTGGGAGGGGGTTGTAGTGCCCTACGACTTCAATGTGCTTGCCGTCCCGAGCAGAGCGGCTGTCTGCCACAAAGATGCGAAAGAAAGGCAGATTCTTTCTCCCAAAGCGTGCCAGCCTGATGCGCACCACCATCCCTGCACTCTGGTGAAGCTGACTCTCGCAGACTACAATAGTGACATCCCTCTTGGCAACGAAGACAAAGAGCTGACAAACAGATGCGGCCAGCGAATGTAGCCAGCAGACCAATGGCAATGGCAAGGGGGAAGGACTGATTCAAAATTCGAAGAACTATCTGGGGCATCTGAGACTAGAGTGCCGGAGCGCTCGCGCTATACTGTCACAGTCTCGTTCAGGCTAGATCAGAGGGCGCAGACGCCCAGCCAAAATATGTAGCGCCCAGTAGCGAGCAGACCGTATGGGCTCCACCGCGGGCGCGTCCACCAAACTTTGCAGACGTCTTATATGGCCTGTTGGCTACCATTTCCACCCACTTTCGGGTTAACGCACCCGGTGGAGCCATCAGTGTCAAGGCTGAAGTGGCCCTATGTCTGAATTCCCCAACTAAAATGCAAGTTTTGGGCATTCAAATGGACCGGGCAAATGACACCCAACGATGGCGGAAACTTGTAGAGAACGTTTGGGACCTAGCCAAGTCGTTTTGACCTTGTGGGCAGTTTGGATATGTGATTCCGCCCGCAATTTATAATCGGGCAAATTGAAAATGCTGACGTGGCACAATTTGCCAACGGTCGTCGAGATCGTAAAATTCAATCTGCGACCATCGGGCGCATGATTTTGAACACTGAAACGGGCGCTTCTGCTTGTAACTGTCGCATCAAATTTCACCAAACCTGGCGGTGTCAAGCTTGTTCGCCAGGAACAGGCCCCGCTGGGACGCGCTCCTTTTTCCAGCTTCAAAAACCACCAAAAATGAGGCCTGGAAGCATAAGGACGATGCATTACCTTATAGAGGCTATTTTAGCTCGTTTTGAGGGCTGGAAAAAGTAGCGCCCTCTTTTGAGGCCTGTATGTGGCGACTGAGCTTGGCACCGCCAGCAAAAAGCATTATTCTGGCAGTCCAGAAGGTGCTCTAGAGCCATTTCTGCAGTGCCAAAAGCTTGCGCCCCATGAGAGAACTTGAACTTCTCTTGAGAATTTCAAGTTCTGAGGAGCGCCGGCATCCCGGCGGCATTTATAGGTTGAGGGTGGTGGTTTAACAGTTCTGCTCGCGGCCGACAATTTGTTTGGCGTCTGCGCCCGGCGGCGGCGGCCCTCTGGGGGCTACTACCGTGACTAGATGCCCGGTGCCGCGTGCGCAACCGCGGCGGGCGGCCGCCCGGTTCGACCGGGGCGCGGCGGCCGCGACACCGTGTCGCGGGCCAGGCCCCCCGCGGGACCCGGGCGCGGGGACGGGGACCGCGAGCACGAGGTGCTCAGTCTCGACCACTGGCGGCTGGCGAGCGGCTGGCCGTTAGCTCGCCTGAGCCCGTGTACGTGCCCCCGCTACGCGCCGGGCGCATTGCAAGCAGCTACAGTAAATATACATGTATGAATTGAATGAAAAGGATGAGTCCAGACTAGAACGACGATCTAGAGCGACTCTACTGTGGATGCGCAGGCAGCTGGCGCCGCGGGCCATCGCAGACACTGCAAAGAATACCCTTGACGAGTCTGCTTTCGCGTCCTCTTCGACCGAGACTCTGTGCCATGTCTTTCGACACCGGCTATCTGGCTTGTGCTTTCTGAACGCATGCAGACCTCTCGACCTCCAATGGCCACTGGAGACGGCCTCAGGACGGTGCCCCCTGCCTATTAGCCCAGAATATCCGGAACTACATCTGCCAGCAGAGCACTGTCATCCACCGATAGGCCGAGTAAACAGCAAAACAGATAAAGATCGGTGACAAGAGATCAGTCCGAGAGAAACATGATCCAAAGGTCTATTGCTCCGAGTTTCTCCTTCGTTCATTCGTTACATTCCGACAGCTCAGCGGCTCACTTGTACGGATGTAAACACAACAGTTTTAATAAGTGATCAGCCCCAACCCAGGCCAGCACCGTCTTAGGAGTACAGATGGTTCGACAGTAACCAGGAGCAGTACTTGGCAGGACAGCGGGTTCAGCTCGAACGTTTCGGACACCCGATTTGGATGTCGTTGAGGTCCCTTCTTTGACATTTCTGACGCGTTGCGCAAAACAAAAGCTGTATCAACAAGTGGCATTCGGTCATGTCTGCAGAAGGTCCGCTGTACCACTTCTCCGTATCGCTTTGATCCGGCAAAGTGACTACGTTGGATCTGTACCAACCGGGACCTTTGCCAACGTTCTCCTGGTATACATCCTTCTCCCTGCCTCGATTTGGGCCAAGTTTTTCTAAGAAATGCAGCGCCCTGTACTCTCAATCTACTGGCTGAGCTATTTTTGATATCTGCAGCGCTCGTGGCAGAACTTGGAGCCCTCAGCCCACATCCACGTGTGACGGGGGTGCAACATGCACATCAACCTTGTACGCGAACTTTTGCAACATTTTGGGGACTCCTAAACCAGACTTCCCCATGAGGCATGATGACTTCCTGTCTTCCGGTAGGAGGACGTCATCACCATCTGCCAGACCTAGTAGTGCACGCAGGGCGCGAGGCACGTGGGCGGTGCCGATTTGAGCATATGACGCGCTGCCGTCATTTGCTGCCGCGGTGGAGACTTTTGTCCTGAATTGATCTCGGAAAGCTTTCAATCGGAGTACAAGTTCAGCTAGTCTTTTTGTATTTGGTACACAATGAAGCTTCCAGCAAGTCGATCTGACACTCTGGTCCTCCCGTCATGTTCGAGGTTTCGAGGTGACCTTGCCGGCCCTGACTGGTCCCCCGCGATGCCTCGTGCCTCTCGTGCCGCGTGCCGCCCGTCAGCTCACCCGCGGGCTGC